ACATTAATCCAAAGATTTGGGGCTACTTTGCTTAGACAGGTTGATAAACAGTCTTTACTGGCAGAGCTCATTGTTAATGGTAGATAGGAAATGCCTGAATATATTCCTGAGAGAGTTTTCAGTGTTATACAAAGGATAAGAATTATAACTGGTTCAGATATTATTGGCTGGAAGTATGGTGGTTTTTCTCTGAAAGCAGCTGGGAAATATATAGATATACAAATCAAATTGTGGATTGGTGTGATATTTGTTGGAAGCATTGCAAACCAAGAATTGCTATGGTGGTTTGCATTATTTTACACAACAAGAATTTATCTTTGGCAAATTTACAAAAAAGAGGCATTACTTTAGTTTCTATTTGTCACAATTGTCTGAGGAATATAGATTCCAATGATCATTTGTTTTGTACTTGTGACTATGCAAACAAGGTCTGGCAAGAGAGCTTTTATCTGCTACATATAGAATAACAGGTTATAATACTGTGCTGCAGCTGGTGGAGTGGTTTAATTTGTAAACTACCACTAATTCTACTAAATCAAAAGTGTTGAGTGCAATTTTTTCAACTGCTATTTGGAAAATCTGGGCTATCAAAAATGAAGTTTTGCACAAGGGAGGTTAAGATTAAGCTACACATGTTGCACAAGCTATTGTTTAGGAGGTTTTGTCATACCTCAAGATTCGACTAGAAGATTTACTACTCATTTTTTAATGATGCAGCTTTTTCTGGTCTTCTTGACAGTTTGGTTTTGCTGGGGATTGTTCAGTTTGTGTGATTTTGTTGCAGAGCTGATGCAGAAGTATCAAGTTCTGGATCAAACGGATGGTCTTCAGTTTGATTTTTTGGAGTTTGGTTCATCATAATGGGCTGGTTTTATTAAAATTCAAGATCAGCTTTTATTTGGGATTAGTTTTGAATATTAGTTGCTTTCTTATGTGTGTGTGTGTGTGTGTGTTTTTTTTTTTTTTTTTTTTTGCTGTGTCTGAAAATGGATTTAGTCCATTTCTTGGCTTGTACTGGAGGTTGTCCTCCTGTTGTAATTGTACTATTTTGAAATATTTATAAAAAAAATGCCCTATTAAGAATTTTTTTTTTTGAATTAGGCTTTAAAATTTTTGGAAAGGAAAGGGTTCGTTTTTCTTTTTGTTGCGGATAAATTTTTTTTCTTGTTGTTGTGTCTTGAATCCAAGAGGATAAATATATTTTGCAAGCCATTCAAAATATAAAAGTTGTAGACGATGGATTTACACATATTATTTGGTCTAGGGTTTCAAAAACCGTGACAATTACACATTATCTTCACACATTGATGAATGAAGTAGAAGATTTAAAGTTGCTAATAAGGTTTTGAATATATATGGGTTTTAGAGAGCAGTAAGTCAAATTTGAACCAAAAAGGTAAAAAAAGAAGGTTGTAGGGGTTCTTTTTTGATCAAACAGTAAACAAGTATACAACAGTGATATCAGAAATACAAATACGAAGGAAACAAAGGAGGTACTCAGTGTAGGAGGAGGAGAAGAAGATCAATTGCCAAGATTAAGATGGTGGTAGGGTAAGAATACAGCTTCTTATGACAGCTTTCCTTTTTCTAGCTTTTTATTCTTTCATAGGACAGTACTATTTATAAGCTTGGATTCCATTGGTTATTATCCAATGGTTTCTTCCGTGCATGGTTCCTTGCATGCCTTGCTCCCAATTAGGATTACGTGGGTAATCCTGGAGGTTTAGAAGTCTGAAGAGTCTAATCCTCTCATCGAGCCTTGCACTACGTTGCTATGTCACTTCTCCCTTAATCAAAGGCATTAAATGTTGCTTGGCCGCCGGTTGGTCAAGCCTAACGCAACATTAAATGTGATTTTAAGGTTCGCTGTCATAATGTGTATAATCCCATCATCTTGTTAATTGGGCCTTGCTAAGAGCGAAGGCACCTCTTGACTTCTTATCCACCAATCCAAAATCCTCCTAAGTTTCCCAAACATAGATTTCTTATAGCTGCGAAGACCCTACCTTCGTTTCGTGCTATGTATATAAATCTTTGATGGCGAGCCCCCTAGGGCTCCAACCTTTCAAAGTGATATTGTTTGGTGCCATACCAAGGTTTGAGGTGCTCGACGGTTAATTCCTTGAGGCTGAATGGGCTTAGAGCGATGCTAGGGCTTAAGGTGATCGAGAATTGGCCCCTCGAGACTTGATGGGCTTGGAGCGACACCCGAGCTTAGGGTGCTTGAGGGTTGGTCTCTCGAGGCTTGATGGGTCTGGAACAATGTCAAGGCTTAGGGTGCTCGAAGGTTGATCCTTTAAGGCTTGATGGGCTTGGAGCGATGACAGGGCTTAGGGTGCTCGAAGTTTGCCCTTGGAGGCTTGATGGGCTTGGAGCGATACTAGGGCTTAGGGTGCTCGAGGGTTACTCCTTCGAGGTTTTTGACTTTTCAAATTGCCACAGGGGATTTGGTTAGCGTCGTATTGACTTGTCAATCATGTCATGTCAGCGCCTAATAAATGACACCCGCAAAGGTTTTGTTGTTTTATTTTACAATCAAAATTGGAAAATAACAAAAATGATTTTTTAATATTAACTGTTGAGCTTTTAATAATTAATACTTAAAAATGAGAATCTAATATTTATTTTAAAATGCAAGTGTTTTGTGAGAAATAAAATTTAGGGCAAAGTATAGAAACCCCCCTCGACTTGTAGCATTTTCCAGTAAACCCCCCTCGTCTAATTTTTTACCAAAGAATCTCCCTCGACTCGTAACCCTTTCCAATAAATCTCTCTTGTTTAATTTTTTACCAAAGAATTCCCCTCAACTATCTACGGAGGTAAAAGAGTTGATATTTCGACCAAAATGCCCTTTTATTTAAATTTTAATTTTTTTAAACTTCAAAAATTCATATATCACAAACCATACATTCAAATATTGCAAATAATATATGCACGGAAATCTTCTAAAATAAGGATTCCAGAAATATAATTTATTTAACAAAACTTCATAACCAAAGAGAAATAGACAATCTAAAAATCTATTGCAATAATTTTATTTTATTTTATTTTTTATAAAATACTTGGCTTATTTGCAAGACAATTTTTAAATTTATTCATTTTCATATGGAGCATAACATATAAAAAAAAAAAAAAATTAGCCTCAATAGAAACCGAATATTCATTTTTATTATTTTTTTAAAATGGCGAGTCTATAAAAGAATGAAAATACTTTGACGCAAAATATAATATTTCATGAAATCGATCTCTGTTGAGGCTAAAATTTTTATATATTCGGCTCCATATGTAAATAAATAATTCTGAAATTTTTCTTACAAATATCTCGAGTATTTTATTTTAAAAAAATAAAATAAGATTATTGGAGTAGATTTTTAGATTGCTTATTTTTCTCTGGTTATGAAGGTTTATTGAATAAATCTTATATTTATGAAATCCTTATTTCATAAGCTTTTCGTGCATTTATTATTTATAATTTTAAAAATACGGTTTATGAGATGAATTTTTGAAGTTCGGAAGAATTAAGATTTAAATAAAAGGGCATTTTGGTCCAAATATCAACTCTTTTACCTCTTTCAACTAGTTGAGGGGGGTTCTTTGGTAAAAAAATTAAACAAAGGAGTTTATTGGAAAAAAGGTTACAAGTTGAAAGGGATTTTTTGACCAAAAAAAATAGATAAAGGGTTTACTGAAAAAGGTTATAAGTATAGGGTGGTTTTCTATACTTTGCTCTAAAATTTATTTACTTAAATTTTTTAAAAATAATATTTAAATTGCACTGTCATTTGGTAATCAATGGAGCATTTTGATGCAAAGACTAAGGGCCTGTTTAGTAATAGGAATAATTTTTTATTTCTATTTTTAATTCCTAAAATTGAAAATTAAAATTAAAAATCATGTTTAATAAAATACTTTATTTTAAGAAATTATTTTCTAATTTTATGCGGAGAAGAGAAAGTGAGAAATCTTTACTTTCTCTATTTTCTACATTGTTCACGAAAATTACTTCTTCTACTGTAGCATGTTTAAAAAAAAAAAAAAAAAAATTATAACCATCTCTCACCACAACTCCTCCACCCACCTCGGCGATGGAGAACGAGACCCATCGCCGACGATTAAACGACAAAGAAAGAGAGAATGTCGACAAGTGAATTGGAAAAGCAAATCCATGACCAAGAGATAACCAACGACAATCGTTGAGAAAATTCCCTAAACAGCAGCCAACACCAGTCCCACCATGACCTGGAAAGACCATAAGAAAAGTCTTCAGATTCCATATCGGTCCGACCAGAAAAGGGATGCCCTTCATGAATTTGGGTTTGTGCAGGCTTAAAAGTACCCAACAATGCTTGTATTACAAACGTGGAATCGCTGATGGGTATAGGGTTGAAGCATTCGAAACCAAAACAGCAAGGATGAAGGCGTCGGCGGTACTTCTCCAGAATCACCAATAACATCAAAGAAACGACGCTGATGACAATTAGCAACTGAACATCCAGTCACTGAAATACCGAAGACCATGGCAACTGATTTGGGGGCTGCACGAACAGCTGATTGATCTGCCATGGAAAGCCAAAGGGAGGAGACTGGTGGAGATGATATATATATATATATATATATATATATATATATATCTATACAAAACATGATTCTTCATATATATATATACATATACAGTGAACTCTCTCATTCTAGAAGGCAGATCTGAAATTTTGTTATCTTCATCCCAATCTCTTGGTGGCTGGTGGCGGTCCGACGCGGTCCGACGTCAATTGCAGCAGCGATGATAAAAAGCAAAATTATAATTATAATTATTAAATTTGCTTTTTAATTTCTTACTTTGAAAATATTAAAAGTATTAAAAATTAGTAAATATAAATATTTCAACTTTAAAAATAAAAATTATAATTTTACTCTTGAATAAAGTAGAAATAAAAAATTGAAAGCGTTAGTAAACGGGAGTAAATAAGTCCAAATCTTAAATTATTTTTCCTTCAATTCTAATATTTAGATATGAAATATTCACCTGTGTACCAAACACAATACTATTAATTTATTGACCTTAAACATTGAATTGAGCCATTGTACAGACTTATCTTATACCCTAAATCTCGACTGAAAATTGCTTTCAAAATCTATGATTTAATTGATTGAACCTGAAGAAAATTCTTCACCTCCACTGTCATAATTGATCGTTTGTAAAGAACCCACAGATCCGCGCGCACACACACACGCACGCACACACATATAGAGGAGAGAGAGAGAGAGAGAGTAACAGTAACGCTGGTGTCTGAAGGGAAAATGGAGAAGATGAACCTGGCATTTGAGAAGGTGAAGATGCTGGTGGGAATGGAAGCGGACGATGAACCAGCGGCTGAAGAAGAGAGCTCTTTCGCGTTCATGGACGACTTCAATCGTAACTGCACATTGTCCACCAAGCAGGTCATCTCTCTCTCTCTTTAGACACACACACACACACATCTATTATATCTCAGTTTCTTCATTTAGTCCTTATTCTTGATTTACACTCATTCATCCAGAAACCTAATATGTGATGTAGAATTTTACACACACACACACACACATCTATTATATCTCAGTTTCTTCATTTAGTCCTTATTCTTGATTTACACTCATTCATCCAGAAACCTAATATGTGATGTAGAATTTTTTGTTTTCTGTCATAATTTTGGGCTTTGATGCCAGAAATATTCCATTAGCTTTGCGCTTTTAAATCCAATTCATAGCTCTCAATTTGATTGCTGTATATTTTTGTTTTTGGCAAGTAAGAGTAGGAATTTAATCTAGAAGAACTATATATCATCCATGGGGCATTCCCTAGGGAAGTCAGTGAAATCCCAATACCACCAATCTGTAGGGTCTAAGAGAGTTAGCTAAACAGAAAATCTGGACTTAGAGACAAAGAAAAGCAATTGAACTTTGTCTTCACAAAAATATACCATGTCCCATCAATATACAACATTATATAAACTGAGAGCATCCAATCCTGACATCATAGCACTGCGATGGATGTCACCTTTATCATAGCTGCTGCAGGTCATAGCTCATAAAGGACACCATGCAACCTCCATAACAAATTGCAGAAAACCAGATAAATTACAGCAATCCATAACACTCCTTGGATGTGTGATCAGAGGCCTTCAAAATAAAGATAATAAAAAACCATTTATCTGGTTAAAATGGAATTAGGAAGCCCTAAGTGAAGAAGAACCGGGCCTGGCCCGAGAGCTTGAAATCCATACAGCCCATGCCTATAATTGGAGACGTTGGAAAGAAAGATAGAATTAGGGATTTTTGTTTATTTATTATTATTATGGGATATTTCAGCAATTTAGGGTTTTATTTATGGTAATAGGTTGATTAGGGTTTTCTTTGATGTCTATTTATATGTTGGTTCAGACATTGGGAAAGTCAACTTTTTATGATTATTATTGATATTGAATTTGAGATTACCTGTGATTTCTTCTCCCTCTGAATTCTTCTTCTCTTCTAAATTCTTCTTCTCTTATGATTTCTTTCCCTCTATTCTTATTCCCTTTCTCTCTCAATCTCTTTCTTATTCTACTTGAATTCTGCTTTCGAATCGCCCCTACCCGCTATTGCACTTTTGCCTTTTTGAGGGCAATTGGTTGCATAATGACCAGTTTCATTGCAAATGTAACATTTACAATCTTTTTTGGTTTCCAAAGATTTGGAGGCTTTGGAGGTCTTTTTGGAACCCTTTGTACCCTTTTTCTTTTTCCCTTTTTTGGGTTTTGGAGAAGGAGCGGGTGTAACATACTTCTTGGACGCGCGGACTGGGCGCTTGCCAGCTTTCCATGTCTTCCAACGAAAGTTTTTTCGCTTAGGTTGTTGAGAACGGGTAGCAGCTTTGTAAGGTGCGCAACCAATCTTCTAAGTTTGTTGTAGAATCTTGTCACAACAACGTTGGCCGTCAGCAGTATTGCTGATCTGGTTTTTGACTTGCTTTTTAGCTTTAGTCTCAAGACATTTTTCGTTAATGAGACAATAGACAAAATTCGTACGAAAACATATGTTATCGGGTTTCTGAATTCGAACAAGAAAATCAGGATATCCTTTTGTTGCAAGTTCATCCCAAGGATTTGGAAGCTTATGAAAAAATTGGGGTAACCAATGTTCAATAGCATTTGGTGGAAGTCTACGAAAGTATTTGGTAAAAATCTTGACGTAGGCTGGAAAGCTGCATATGTCGCATAATTCGATTTTCGAAAGTGCGCACGTTGCATCGTCGGTTAAGAGTTGTTCTCCTGTATGTCCGACTAATTCTTCTTTAAGAATTTTAACGAAGCCTCTTAGGACGCCATCGATCTTATCGAAGTTGTTTAAGAGTTCGTCTTTTTGGCGTTGACCTTGAGTAGTCTGATCCCATTGTCGAAGCCAATCAAGAGCATCACCTTGTAGGGTTGCTGAGATGTAGTCAAGGAAACGATCGCGTTGCCAAGTTCCTTTATAGTTGTTGACTAGGATGGCCAAAGATTGTGCCCATTCATCAATGGTTTTCAAATGATCTTTATAAGGGACATTTGAAAGATCTAAATAAGTTCCATGTTGTGAAATAGGAAACTTATTAAGGTCATCTTTTCGGGTCCAGGTAGGGACTGTAGAAAAATCATATTTATAGGATGAGGTATAAACAGAGGGCTTTTTGGGTTCTCCTTTTTCACCATCTGCAGGCTGGCTGCTAGAGGGAGGAACTTCTTCTGCTGGGAGAAGGTCTTCAGTAGGAAAGTCTCCGTAAAAAGATTCATCAAGAACAGTGTCTGATTGACGTTTCTTCGATTTAGATCTTGGGGTAGGTAAAGGATCTGCTTCGATGGTGTCATCGAGAGATTCAGAAGATGAATCAGGAAGAGGGTCTGCTTCGATGGTTTCATCAACGGATTCAGAGGATTCTGATTTGTCTGAAAAGACATATATTTGTTCGTCGTCGGATTGATTTTCGTTGTTTGAATCACTGCTGCTTTCACTTGGTGTGTAACCAAAGTGAGTAAGAAGATCTTCATTTTGTAAAGAGATCTGTCTTATGTGATTGATGATATGTGTGCTTTCATCAAAAGTAAGTTGTGGGTTTACATATAGAGCTTGTAAACAATTGAGTTGATCTATGATATTGTCATAGTCATCACGTCGGTATTTAAATGAAGAAGTAGATTCAGTAAAGACTTTTAATTCTTCATGGCCGTAAAAAAGGGGTTTAACCTTATAACGAAGAGGTGGTTCGTCGGAGAGGGGTTTTTCCGGGAGGAGAGTTTCCTGTTGAGAAGGATTAGATTGTCCTTTAGAAAGATCGGGTGGATCTGGTTCTGGTGGGTAAAGATCTGACATCTTAGCTTTTTGGAGCTTGGCTAGATCTATAGTCATCTGATGTATTTGTTCCTGAAGAGCGGATATGTCTTGAGGATTGGAAAGAGTGAAAATCTGGGTAAGAGTTTCAAGTTTGTCATTCAAGGAGATCATTCCTTGTTGGACATCTTCAAAAGAGGAATCCATATGGGTATTGGTTGCCTCTAGATTATGTTGGAAATCGATCTTCCAATCAGTAATCATATCTATCAGGAAGTTTAGTCCTGCACCGATTTGATTAAACGTAAGTGGTTCCGTGTGTAGAAAATGAGTAATATGACGGTAGCCATTGGGATCTTGACCATGTATATTACGGATACAGTTGACAGAGCTAGGTTGTGCCATACAAACAGTTATTGGTTCTTAAGACCTTTTGATTTCTGTTATGGTGCCTAAAACCAAGAGTTCTTGTTGGGAGCTTAATATATGTCGTAAAAGTCGTACAGACACAGACAAATAAGCAAATACAGGATAATATGGGCTTAAAACAGTAATCAAACATATGAGAATTATAACAGTAATAAGGCACAAAATAGATACTGAAAACTTATAACTTACAATAGTGGTCCAGATTCGATGTATGGCTCTGATACCAATTACAGCAATGCGGAAATGAAATACACAAATAGGAACTGAGAATTTTACAGAGCAAACAAAGATATGAAAACTGATACTAGAACCTAATACCGAAACCATGTTGAGGTTAGGGTTTAAATAGCATTACAAAAGATAAACAGTTCCAGAGAAGATAAGAACGAATCTTTCTTTTACTGTTTGAAAAAGTGATTGTCGGCAACTTTCACTGTTGATGAATAGTTTGTCGGCAGCTTTCGGTTACTTTAACTTTTGGAAAAAGTAGACATGACAGCTCTTCTTGTCGTGTGCTCGATAGATTGCAGCCGATCAGTAGAGAGTGTCGGTTCATCCTTCCATGGCATTAATGATGTTATGGAGTTCATATTCATCAAGTGGAGGAGTGCTGGCTGGTGATTGTGCATCAGCAATATCCCATTCCAGATTAAGTCGTTCTGCGCCATCTTTGACCCGAGAGGGGTTATCCAGTGTGGTCATGCTAACGATTTCTTTTAGAAATGCTTTGGCTGTTTGGATATGATGTTCTCCATTTTCGTCATCATAATAGATGCGGAGGGTGGTGACAAAGAGTCTTCGCCCGTCACAACAATAGAACATTGGCTCTTGATTGTGATAAGTGCCATCAAGAAGACGTCGAGCAGTATCTTGGAGGTGTAAGAAACTGTGAATTTCGAAGTAGTAAGGAACAATGCTGTTAGCAATTTCCTCTGAGTTTAGCAGTCGATTATGCTCGTACTCATCTTGTGCGGTGAGTTTGAGATACCATATTTGATAAGGTTGGAAAAATCGAGTTTTTTCTCGACTACCAATGGTACTGGAAATCCAAAAAGTAAGGTGACGGCTATAATTCCAACGTCTACTGACTTTGTAAACCATGGATTTGATCATGGCAGGAAAGGACCGGTATGAATCTGTAGAGGTAAAGGTGAGTTTGTTCACAAATCCCCAATCAATAGGTTCCATGGACCATTCAATTCCAGGAATGATAAAAAAGTCAAATTTTGGGACTCTTTTGCCATTATAAAGCATATCAAAGGTATTGATATCTTCATGTAATGTCTAATAGTAATATCGGATGATGTCATAATGATCTTCAATCTTTCGATAGATGAGCCGAAAGAGATCAGGAGGAAAATCGTTTCTTGCTTTTTCAAGAAGACATATACGATTGATTTTGGCAAACGTATTTTCTGGAAAATCTTGTTCTCCTACTAATTGGGCAAGCTTAAGAAAACAATTAATTTGAGATAAAGAAAAATCTTTTTCCCAGTCAATAGTAAGACAGATCTGGATGCAAAGCTGTTTAAGCTCAACAGTCATGGCTGCTTGTTCAGCAATGAGAGCTGTAAGAGAACTCATAAGTTGTTCAGCAATCAATCAAACCATACTGTTTATCCTTCTCAAAACCACTCCACCGCTGCCTCACCCTCACCTAAATCACCAGACAAACATAAACCCTAGCA